CTGTCTGCCGTTGTTCATCTCTGAATAAGCTCTCCCATACCAACATGGGAACACACTGCGACATCACCGCTACTCGTTCAGCAGTCACACGACACTCCCATGGGTATCTCAGCCCATGCAGCTTCAGCTAGACCATGTAACTTCTGATAGTCACAATCCACATAGGGGCTGGTGGCTCACCCCATCATCTGGGTAAGCATCATTTTGGTTTTTCTTTCAGTGTCCCCAAGACTTTATCTTCACAATGGTTCCTCTACCTGCCTTACCATTCGTTCCTCAGACGGAAGCTGTCTGGAGGCTGAAGCTTCAACCAGGGGACAGCAGGTGCTGGCACACCCAAGTGCCAATATTAGCTATTCCATCAGGCCCTCTATTATTTGGGTCCTCAGTGTGAGTCTGTGTAACTGCAGAGGAACATCTCTTGTTCTCCAAACCCACCTCTCCACCCACACACCCCACTACGGACAACCATGAGGAGAGAGGACCCTGATAAGATCATTCGGTTTCTTCTAGAGAGTATTGCTAGGGGAGGGGATGCAGCAGTCTCCATTTTCCCCTGGAGCAAGGTAGGGAGAGATGAGGGAGCCTCTTTTCCTCTCTGCCACCCTGGAAGGGAGAGGGCATCAAACAGGAGAACACAGCTTCCTGTGGGAAAAAGGGTAGATAAGGGACTCCCCAACAGACAATTTTTCTCCCCATCAGGTGCTGGTGCTGCTCCCGCTACTGGCAGGTAAAGGCAGCAGCCAGCAAACAACTCTCCAGACAGCAAACAAAACAGACCAGCTTCCTCCTATGGCTCCGTAGCTCCAAAATCTCCCTCCTGGTGTGTCCCTTTTTCACCAGGAGAGAAGAAGCAAGAAGAGGGAGCTGATCTCCCCTAAATTCAGGAGAAGACGTGGAAGGGGAACTCTCCCCCTGCTTACAGCAGAGAGGAGGAAGATGCACTCCTCACACTTCTCCTTATTCAAACCCCTTCTGATATCCATAAGGCGTCAGCAGAAATTGCAGCAGCTTAATACAAGGTTCGAATACCTGCCAATAGAGTGAGTCAACCAAAAAGCTCTGCCTCTCTGTTACAAGGCTGAAAGGGTTATTTTAAGGTGGCACAGAAACAAATTAAATGAAATAGCACCAGTGCTAATTTGTGATGAGAGAGGTGCCGGGGCTCCAGCAATTTTTTTACTTTCATAACTGACGCGGCAAGCCCAGAGGTGCCGGGACTATGAACTGCCAAGCCTAGAGGCACAAATTAAGCACTGAATTGCACTATCTGGAATTCCACAGCCATTAGTAAGATCATCAGAGACTATGATTGCTTCCCCTTTTTAACTAAAGACAGCTGGAACTGTTGTACAGTTCCTAAAAAGAGGCATATTTGCGACTATAATGCTTGTTCCAAGCTAAAGTACTTGCCTGAAAGAAAAAAAAATCCATCAGTGAATAGTTTTTATGGGAAATATGTGGGGAGTGGGCAAAGCATTTGTGCTGAAATCCTAGAATAAAAGTAAACTTTCAGGGAAAGACAGAATTATTATCTTTTGTTTGTTCTTGAACTTTGCCCAGGAGCCTCGGGCTTATTCATCGTGCAGCCGTTGGATGTGGACCTACTGTTCATGAGCATAGGATTGGACAGAAAATCCTCTCCCTGGCTTTATTAGCTCTACTTATGACAGAATGCTAGTCAATCATTGTGAAAATGGGAGAGCGAGTCAAATGGCAGTTTCTCAAATACCATTTGCTCTAGCCCCAAATGCTTCTACCTAGGTAAATCAAAAGAGCCCACATACATTAATATGCCCCGGCATGTGAAATTTAGTAGTACGTATGGTTTAAATACATGGTATCTCTACAGCTTTTAACAATTATTTGGTTTGCTGGAAACCTCTAGTTTCTTTTTCCTTCTGTTTAGGCAATGTTACTCGGATAAGCAGCATATCCCTCCTATTCCATTTCAGGGATTTAATTTAAAAAGCAATCAGAAAGGAATTTAAATTCATTATTTCACAACGCAGGCTCTTCATACACACACAATTATGTTTCATTACATGAGAATTTATCTTCTCCATGAAATCAATTGCCATAGTCTTCGTTCATTACACGTTACCAAATCACATTTGATTTGTCAGAGAGCTGTTGACTTCTGCAGTAAATCAAAATGACAGAGATTGTTAGTTTCCTTACTCATCTATCTAGTCTCCTATTCAAGCCTGTCTATGCTTCTTTTCAGCAAAACTAGGATTTCCCCTAGTAACTGTATTTCACAACTGGGGAGGTTTTCATAAATGGAAAAAATGCAGTATGCATAATCCAGGAAGCTATTGAAATGTACAGTATCAGAAACATATGGCTACAGGAAATACCTTGGCAGTAAGAGGCTGGGAATGAGAGAACAGTCATCAAGAAAACTCTCTTGACTAAAGGGAGACCTGGCTTTAACAATTTAAATATTTTTAAATGCACACGAAGAAACTTTGCCTAGGCGATGCACAAAAATTGGGTGCTGGTTGAGATTAAGGAGGAAAGTGGAACACAGGATGACCCACATACTATTCTGGGATGTTATAGTAGATGGCTTTACTACTGTTCTTTAATTATCTGTTTTTCAAATACTGAAATCATTGGAGTCTCGGAAATCCTCAACAGATAAAAAATTTAAAAAAGGTGACTTCTTTCTCAGTTAGTAGCATATGAAAGGAGTGACTAGACACGGAGTTTATTTTATACTAATAAAAAAAGTGAACAGTGCAGACTCTCACAGTTAACATTCCTCTTCCCCCTCCTCCCCAAAACCCCCCCAGAAAAATATCTTCATGATCAATGAACTTTAAAATAAAATGATATCCATTATACCAGTGGATCTAAACGTTTTCCATCCAAGAACTTCCACCCCCCAACCTAGCAAGGTGGGAAGGGCAGGGTGGTCACAACCCCAATACATGTTCACAACCACCAGGCTGAAAGCCCCAGCACTAGATCGTTTCATCCAAGCCTCAACACCCCCACAATGCTACTGCAGGGTACAGTTTCTACTGTGAGGCAGTATTAGATATTAAACCAGTACAACACTTAATTTCAGCCAAAAAGAGACATTTCTAGAAAGATCAAAGGAAAATCAGCTGCATTGTGGTAGCAAATAAATTGCCATTTTAAATATAGTTTAATAAAAGGATTCCCATGAACAAGGAGCCCATCTCTTCTTGCTACGGAATTCTACTTAGACGACATTATTCTGGCATCTTATTGGTGCACTGTCATGCCCATATATATTTCAGGATGCTTTTAATGCAACTTCAGAATGCAGGAGGCCCAGACAAAAACTGAGTGTGTAGTAGTTCTAACAGATTTTACACATATGAATCTAAAATCCTAACTCCACAATCTACATGAAGATCTGATGAAAATGCACACGTGAAAAATCACTCTGCCCCTTTTTGGTGAACTGGAAAAGGTAAATGATTTGTTTCTCTCCTTTCTTCACAGCAGTTTGCCCATTAATATTTAAAAAGCACAAAATATTCATAACCATTAGCAAAACAAAGGAGAATTGTCCCTGCGGAACATAAGGCCCTCCGGCCCAAGGGGCTGAACTACACGCGTTCCTTAAAAAAATATTCCTATACTCTGCACAGAATCAATAAAATTGACAAGGATCCATCACTACAAAGTTATATTCCATGACTGAGCTATGTGTGTAAACAGTTAAATTACATTTCAGGTTCCTCAGATAACTTCTCTTACATTTCAAAATAAAACTTCTAAAAAGGCAAAAAAAGGTTTAAAAAGCTTTCTGCGGAGTCTAGAAATGCAAACGGTCAAGTGTTTTAGCTCATGTACCTAACGATTATTTGTGAGATATTTTCCAAGTGCAGTGTTTGAAACAGAATACGAACATGCGAGCCCAGCCCAACAGTTTACCAGGTGTACTGCAAGACTTTACGGGGCATTCAAGCATGAGACTCAAACTTAGTCTCTCACTCCTGAAGCCAGCTGCAGCTGGGAGTGGTTCAGAGATAGCCCGCTCAGCCCTTGTGGGAGAGAGTGCCTCATTTTGCTGGAATGATCACTTCTGGCCAGTTCAGGAGCAATAACAACCGATTCTACAGAGAGTCCTATCCAGCCCTTCTTAGCTGGAAAGACATTTCAGCACATCACAAAGCTTTGAAGGGTGAGGTGAGTGAAGGAGAAGATAAAGGACAAGTATTACAGGTACTTAAACTGATTTTTTGAAAATAGGACTCCAGAAAATGCAGCTTATCTACTGAAATGCTATAGCTTCATTGAGCCAACTGCAAGCATGACTCCTCCCTTTAGAAAGAGAGCACTGATCACTTGCATTTGTGTGTTTGTTGTAGCGTTCACCTTTCTTTTCTGTTTGTACACGCTAGTCACACACTCCTGCTTTTTAGAAGAATATCTCCACAGGGGTACAACACTCTCACCACTCGATACTCAGAAGCAGCAGGCTTGCTGGAAAAGTGTCAGGTGCTGAATTAAGATTCGAATGAATTAGGAAGACAGAGGTATCTCATTCATTTGTCCCTCAACTGTTTTTCAAAAAACACCTACAGTGTCTGATGACGAGAGACAGTGTTTCTGTGGAATTGAGGGGCCAATCCTCAACTGGTGTAGGTTAATGTAGCTCTATTGACGTCAATGGAGCTTGCCAATTTCAACCAGGATCTAGCCCATAAAGTACAAAAGTCTCAGATGGAAGGTCCAGCGACACAAAAATAGGACAGGGAGGGGATCAGTCACTCATTCAAAGGAACAAAATGACCAGCCATGGTCCTGAATCCACACCATGAACAGTGAGAATGATGTAAGGATGCTAACCTTTGGTGCCATGCATCAGGATTAAAGGAATAGCACAGAAAGAGATGAGATGACAGTATTTAAGAGGTTTAATGTCTCATTTTATGGGAACACCAAAACTGCAGTCATTTTCATTAAATTGTAAATCTTCTCAGACCTGAAAAGCACTGGCTGGCACCTTCCCTTACCTTTGCTCCGTGTTAAACAAGGCAAAAATATGTTTGCTAGACATGAAGCTCTTTTCAACATCCCGCACTTTCAGGTTGTCCAAGGGAAGCATGTACTTCTTTTCCTTTTCCTATTAAAAATAAATAAAACCACAAATACTGTAATATGTTTCAAAGAAAGCAGACATCAGCATGCTATAGTTTAGTTAGCGACTATTCTGTTTACTATCTTGACACCAACACTGCTATCAAAGACTAAAGGAATACCTAAAACAAATTATCTTACCCATAATTGGGTGAGCTTGAGTGCATACCAAATTATATAGTCCTCCATCCCTTTCTTTCAGTTAGCTGAAGGACAGTATGCTGTGGAACCCTATTCCAGCTGAGCAGCGAACAGCGGAGGGACTAACAGAGGGAGTTTGCCTGGGATCTGTCCGAGAGGAGGTACGCTAAGTGCTGCATTGAGGGGGCTGTGTTGGTGAGTATCTGAGTGTCTGTTGCGGGGACAGTTTGTCAGTTTGACTGTGTGCTTGATCGTTTGAAAAGTGTGAATTGGGAGTGCTTTGTTCTAGGTGAGCCTTGAGAGGGCCTCACTGTTACAAAAAGGCAGTCAGCTGCGAACCAGTTGAGTGGTGAACAGCAGAGAGGATAACAGAGGGAGTTTGCCTAGGGAGAGCCCACTGTGGCTTTCATCTTACAGGCTTCTCTGAGTAGTTACTACAACACCCGAGGAAGCTCTTAGAAGGAAGGTAATATGGATGGTGAGCGTTCAGCTGTTACCTGCACAGGATGTGCTATGTTTGTCTTTCTTCCACAGGACAGAAGTGACTTTGTCTGTACAAAGTGCAAGCTGGTCTCCATATTGGAAGAGAGGTTCAAGGTCTGGAGAAACAAGTATTGACCTTTGTCAGGATATGCTTCTACGGCACAACTTTCTGAAGATTCAGAGTAGGCTGTGCAGCAGGGACAGAAGGACGGTGAAGAAATTTGGCAGCATGTGACCTCCAGAAGAAGAAAGAGAAGCATCCATGTACCAGCAATGCAGATACAGGTGAGCAACAGTTTTCATGTTCTCTCCACAGGTACTAGATGATACATCTGCGGGAAGGGAGCAGGAGGAGACTCTGCTGATTGGAAGGCATGAGATGCACTGTCTTAGGGAAGGGCGTTCCATGACCACCGCTCCCAAGAGAAGGAGGTGGGTGGTGGTGGTTGGGGACTCCCTCCTCAGGGGGGCTGAGTCATCTATCTGCCGCCCCGACCGGGAAAACTGAGAAGTCTGCTGCTTGCCAGGAGCTAGGATTCACGATGTGATAGAGAGACTGCCGAGACTCATCAAGCCCTCGGACCACAACCCCTTCCTGCTTCTCCATGTGGGCACCAATAATACTGCCAAGAATGAGCTTGAGCGGATCACTGCAGACTACGTGGCTCTGGGAAGAAGGATAAAGGAGTTTGAGGTTCAAGTGGTGTTCTGGTCCATCCTCCCTGTGGAAGGAAAGGGCCTGGATAGAGACCGTCGAAGCGTGGAAGCCGACGAATGGCTACGCAGGTGGTGTTGGAGAGAAGGCTTTGGATTCTTTGACCATGGGATGGTGTTCCAAGAAGAAGGAGTGCTAGGCAGAGACAGGCTCCACCTAACGAAGAGAGGGAAGAGCATCTTCTCAAGCAGGCTGGCTAACCTAGTGAGGAGGGCTTTAAACTAGGTTAACTGGGGGAAGGAGACCAAAGCCCTGAGGTAAGTGAGATACCGGGAGGAAGCAAGAGGGGAAGTGCAGGAGGGGAAGGCTCCTGCCTCATACGGAGAAAGTGGGACGATCAGCGAGTTACCTCAAGTGCCTATACACAAATGCAAGAAGCCTGGGAAACAAGCGGGAAGAACTGCAAGTCATAGAATCATAGGGTTGGAAGGGACCTCAGGAGGTCATCACCAGACCAGGGCGATGAGGTGGACAAGGCTTTCTTCCGGCAACTAACAGAAGTTACTAGATTGCAGGCCCTGGTTCTCATGGGAGACTTCAATCACCCTGATATCTGCTGGGAGAGCAATACAGTGGTGCACAGACAATCCAAGAAGTTTTTGAAAAGTGTAGGGGACAATTTCCTGGTGCAAGTGCTGGAGGAACCAACTAGGGGCAGAGCTCTTCTTGACCTGCTGCTCACAAACTGGGAAGAATTAGTAGGGGAAACAAAAGTGGATGGGAGCCTGGGAGGCAGTGACCATGAGATGGTGGAGTTCAGGATCCTGACACAGGGAAGAAAGGAGAGCAGCAGAATACGGATCCTGGACTTCAGAAAAGAGACTTTGACTCCCTCAGGGAACTGATGGGCAGGATGGAAAAGAAGTCCAGGAAAGCCGGTTGTATTTTAAAGAATCCTTATTGAAGTTACAGGAACAAACCATCCCAACGTGCAGAAAGACTAGCAAATATGGCAGGCGACCAGCTTGGCTTAACAGTGAAATCCTTGCTGATCTTAAACATAAAAAAAAAAGCTTACAAGAAGTGGAAATTTGGACAGATGACTAGGGAGGAGTATAAAAATATTGCTAGGGCATGCAGGGGTGTAATCAGGAAGGCCAACGCACAACTGGAGTTGCAGCTAGCAAGGGGTGTGAAGGGTAACAAGAAGGGTTACTACAGGTATGTTAGCAACAAGAAGGTGGTCAGGGAAAGTGTGGGACCCTTACTGAATGGGGAAGGCAACATAGTGACAGATGATGTGGAAAAAGCTGAAGTACTCAATGTTTTTTTTGCATCGGTCTTCACGAACAAGGTCAGCTCTGAGACTGCTGCACTGGCAGTACAGTGTGGGGAGAAGATGAGCAGCCCTCAGTGGTGAAAGAACAGGTTAAAGACTATTTAGAAAAGCTGGACATGCACAAGTCCATGGGTCCCGATCTAATGCATCCAAGGGTGCTGAGGGAGTTGGCTGATGTAATTGCAGAGCCATTGATCATTATCTTTGAAAATTCGTGGCGATCTGGGGAGGTCCCGGATGATTGGAAAAAGGCAAATATAGTGCCCATATTTTAAAAAAGGGAAGAAAGAGAACCCAGGGAACTACACCAGCCAGACTCACTTCAGTCCCCAACAAAATAATAGAGCAGGTCCTCAAGGAATCCATTTTGAAGCACTTGGAGGAGAGGAAGGTGATCAGGAACAGTCAACATGGATTCACCAAGGGCAAGTCATACCTGACCAATCTGATTGCCTTCTATGATGAGATAACTGGCTCTGTGCATACGGGGAAAGCGGTGGATGTGATATACCTTAACTTTAGCAAAGCTTTTGATATGGTCTCCCACAGTATTCTTGCCAGCAAGTTAAAGAAGTATGGATTGGATCAGCGGTGGCCAACCTGAGCTTGAGAAGGAGCCAGAATTTACCTATGTACATTGCCAAAGAGCCACAGTAATACATCAGTTCCTCATGCCTGCCAGCAGCCCTGCTGATCAGCGCCTCCCCCTCCCCCCCCATGCCTCCTGTGGCATGCAGGAGGCTCTGGGAGGGCGGGGGCGTGGCAGGCTCAGGGAAGGGGGCAGGAAGGAGTGGGGGCCTTGGCGGAAGGGGTGAAGTAGGGGCAGGGCCTGTGGCAAAGTCAGGGGTTGAGCAGTGATCATACACACACCCCTGCACATTGGAAAGTTGGCATCTGTAGCTCCAGCCTCAGAGTTGGTGCCTGTGCAAGATAGGGTGACCAGATGTCCCAATTTTATAGGGACAGTCCTGATTTTTGGAGCTTTTTCTTACATAGGCACCTATTACCCCCCAACCCCTGTCCAGATTTTTCACACTTGCTGTCTGGTCACCCTAATGCAAGGAGTCACGTATTAACTTCTGAAGAGCCACAAGTTGGCCACCCAGGATTGGATGAATGCACTATAAGGTGGACAGAAAGCTGGCTAGATTGTCGGGCTCAACGGGTAGTGATCAATGGTTCAATGTCTAGTTGGCAGCCGGAATCAAGCAGAGTGCCCCAAGGATTGGTCCAGGGGTCGGTTTTGTTCAACATCTTTATTAATGATCTGGATGATGGGATGAGTTGCAACCTCAGCAAGTTTACAGAAAACACTAAACTGTGGGGAGAGGTAGATACACTGGAGGGTAGGGATAGGGTCCAGAGTGACCTAGACAAATTCGAGGATTGGGCCAAAAGAAATCTGATGAGGTTCAACAAGGACAAGTGCTGAGTCCTGCATTTAGGACAGTAAGAATCCCATGCACCGCAATAGACTGGGGACCTACTGGCTAAGCAGCAGTTCTGCAGAAAAGGACCTGGGGATTATGGTGGATGAGAAGCTGGATATGGAATCAGCACTGTGCCCTTGTTGCCAAGAAGGTCAACGGCATATTGCACTGTATTAGTAGGAGCATTGCCAGCAGATTGAGGGAAGTGATTATTCCCCTCTATTTGGCACTGGTGAGGCCACACCTGGAGCATTGCGTCCAGTTTTGGTCCCCGCACTGCAGAAGGGATGTGGACAAATTGGAGAGAGCCAAGCAGAGGGTAACAACTTCCTGCCACCGGTGAGTGCAGGCCCAGGCCTGCTGCACTCCTCAGGGGAGTGGGGGCGTGGCTGGGGCAGAGCAGGGGCGGGAAAGGGCAGGGCAGGGCAGGAAGAGCTGGAGCAGCATGCTCCAAATTTCCTGGTGCCCTACGCAGCTGCGTATTTTGCGTATGGGTAAGGATGTCCCTGGTTCCAAAGAGGATGGAGCTAGGCTGTTCTCGCTGGCAGGTGGCAGAACAAGAAACAACCGTCTCAAACTGCAGTGGGGGAGGTCTAGGTTGGATATTAGGAAACACTATTTCACTGGGAGGATAGTGAAGCACTGGATTGGGTTACCTAGGGAGGTGGTGGAATCTCCATCCTTAGAGGTTTTTAAGGCCCAGCTTGACAAAACCCTGGCTGGGATGATTTAGTTGGGGACTGGTCCTGCTTTGAGCAGGGGATTGGACTAGATGACCTCCTGAGGTCTCTTCCAACCCTAATATTCTATTATTCTAATTGTAAGAAAAAATAATACTATTGAAAGATGAGTGGTTTTAAAGCCTTTTTTTCCCATGCACAGGGTTAGACGGATGTAAATAAAGGTAATGGTGACTACTGGTTTCTCCTCAGCACTTGACATTTCATTGAAGATCTGGGTGATTTCAAGGAATTTCGCTGGTGGCCACCATGTGCCAAACAGGTTTCCCATGTATTAGTGTATCAAGCCACTACTACTATTTTTAGAGCACTAGTGAGAGCCCCACGAGGCCAAGTCTATAGACCTGGGCTGGGAGGCTCACTCCAAAACGCTGTGGGGACATACCAAAAGTGCTTTTACAAATGAGACCCTTTTACAGATGGGGAAAGACACCAAGAAGTGAAGTGATTCACCCAAGAGCTGGGATTAGAACCTATTTCTCCTGACTCTCAGGCTGGTGCCCTAGCTCCTAGACAATACTATTTACAATATTATTTACAACACAAAAACATAGTACAATTAACCAAAATATGTTTTAGAACACCATTCACTTTACTCCATCTTAGAATCTTCCTTATGAAAGATTAATCCTTCAAGGGTGTTTAAATTATTTATACAGGTTAGACTCTTGGATATTCCTATGAAGGGAGACAGAAGGATGTCTATGTTTCAAAGTCCTTCAGAGACAACATATTGGACATAAGAAGCCAGGGTTACAGAACTATTTAGTTCAGGAAAAAAGGCATCACACATCCACTATGACATTCGAGAGATACAAAGCTCATTGCAATTTAAAAAAAAAAAACAACTCTCCCCGCCCAGAAAAAGGAACTATCACCTCCACATGAACTACCATGTTTCAAGCAATAGATGAGCCCAACAACAAGTCAGCCTTAGAGCAATTACTTTATCCTGTGGAAGTTCCCAAAGCTCTAAACAGGATCAGATCAGTGTATGCTAGGTGCTCCACAGCCAAAAGACAAGGTTACTATCAAGGAGCTACAAGGTGGAAGGAATGGGGCTAGGCATAGTTATACAAGTGATGATGGGCACCTGGCTCATTAGTTCCATTTCTTATTTTTCAACATTTGTTCATTTTTATTTATAGATTTTAATTTTTGTTACAGGGCAGAGGTGAGCGAACTTCAGTAAGAGGGAAGGACAAAGACTCATCTCTAGAAGGAACTGCGACTTCCTCTGTTGTGAATACAGACTACACTTTACAAAGATGTAAGTGTGACCCACCCTCTCTCTGACATGAAAAACTTCCCACAGTGCAAGTTAAAAATATCCTAGCCAGGAGAGGCCTTCATCCCCAGGAGATGTTCCATCACCAACAGTCATATGGTAGCCTCTATTTAAAAGTGGATAGTTCTGTGCCCCTTGGGAGTGAGCTCGGCTCCAGGGGTGCCACAGTTTTCAAATCACTTGGGTGGAAGTTACCCCTTACAATGTTGTTTGGTTGGGAGACTTGTAGGAGCACACAAAGAATGAATACAGTGACCACACACACAGTTACAAGTAAAAAATCTTGTTTGTATTATAAAAGTTACAGTCATATCTCCATATAGCCAACGTTGGGTTCATATTCAAATACCCAAGGATCTTAACAAGTTGGGTGGATCTCCTTACAGGTAGTCATTAATAGAGGGGTAGTTCCCGCTGTGGTCTTCCCACCCTAGTCATATCAGGAACAGCATTTTATCTTGCTGTCATGACCACACTTAACACCCTATGAATATGCATGAGGGTTCCATCCTCTTCCCTGTCTGTACTTCCACACATAAATGACGGGGTGCCCTGCTTCTCATAGGTTGTTCTCTTAGTTCCCCTTATTCTTATTAAAATTTATGTAAACATGTTCCCATGACAACCTGCACTCAGAGCAGAACTTTTGTGATGTTACAATTGGGTGTCTTGCATTCTAGATGGGTACATTGGGACATTTTCCGGGGACATCACCTATTGGTACATCCTCTCCAGTAAACCTGTAACCTTACTGGCATAGGGCCATTCCTGTGTCACCCATTCATGACACATCTTCTTAAGCCCGAGGCCTAGCGTGGCTGAGCTGAAACCTCACAGGCCTTAGCATATATCCTTGTATTATGGCCTTACTTTACCTATATACCTAATACACACTTACCACTCCTAAATATTTATCAGTCTTGTACTCCTATAATCCTATCCTACTTATATCTAGTCATCACATTGATTACATATGAAACAACATATGAGTTAACCAAGACAACAGATAACTCAATTAAATGACAAAATGAACTAATTGGCTACAAAACATAATGCTCAAGAAGGTCCTTAGTAGGCTAGTGCTGTCCTATGTTTTATGTGCGGGTGACTAACAAAATGTCTACACTGCAATTAAAAACCTGCAACTGGCCCATGCCAGCTGACTCAGGCGCATGGGGCTCAGGCTAAGGAGCTGTTTAACTGCAGTGCAGATGTTCTGCTGCTGCCTTAGCTCTGGGACCCTCCTGCCTCACAGGATCCTAGAGCCCAGGGCTCCAGGCCAACATCTACACAGCAATTAAACAGCCCCTTAGCCCAAGCCCCATAAGCCCAAACCAGCTGGCATGGGTTTTTAATTGCAGTATATAGACATACAGTAATAGACCAACTAGCTGCCAACAAATGATAGTGAGATGGAAATATGCTGTACTGTAACTACCAACTGCTTCAGCAAGTTTCAGTTAAATACACTCAAAATAAATAAAGGTAAAGTCCAAAATGTTACAAGGGCGGGTGGAGATCAAAGATCTCCCACAGTGCTTTAAAGTCTGTTCATCTAATGAGTTAGGATGAGTTTGCCCACAAGAGGCAAGAAAGGGATTTTAATCTAGTCTTTTCCCTCTTTTTGACAACCTGCAGACAGACCCTTGGGTGACTGGAAAAAAGAGACGTGGATTGCAGCTGAAGGGGGTTTAAGGAAGAATAACCCTATTATGCAGTTTTTGGCACAATGAAAATGGATTACTGTAATTACTTTCTATACCATTCTTTTTAGATATCATCAAGGATGATACTCATTTCTAGGTCTCATGAGTTCAGCTCTTCTCTTTCTGGTCTTCTGCTGCACCCACTGGCTAGCTTGAGGGCTCTACCCCGCTGAGCATCCTCCAACTAGAGGACATTTGGATGTTCCCAGCCAGTTCCTTTCAACAGGGAGAAGTTAGAGTTCCCAACTCAAGACAACTAGTGTATTGCACTGACACAGGACAATCAATTCTCTCTGCTTTATATCTTGAGGAATGTAAGCAACATTACTGGAGTACAATATGCCATGTCAAAAATATGTTCCTCAAACTCTGAAGTGTTGGATTTAGCAAAGCGCTTGCATTGGTCTAATTCTGTTCCCACTTAATAGGAAGTCACATCTTTTAGAGCTAGAGAGTTTCCCATGTGATTTACACCGGAAGCACAAACATCCATGAGAAAGAGTCCTGCATTGATTGTAAATTTAAAGAACCCATATAACATCTCTGTTGAACACAGCTTCTATTAAATGGCCTTTGAATTAAGGCATGGGACTAGGAGCTGGAAGGGCTGGATTTTGTTTGTGTCTCTACCAGACTTCCTGTGTAAGCTTGGGCAACTCACTTGGCTTCTCTGTGCCTATTTGTACACCTGTAATATGGGGATGATTTTTATCTACCTGGCAGCAGTGTTGCAAGGCCTCATCCTGGTAGTTAACATTCATGTGAAGCAGATCATAATGCAAGGCTGTGACAAGGTACGCTACCAATTAGAATGTGGGGATAGTTAAATGGTGCACCAAGGCAAACACTTCCTCCCTTCCCCACTACTTTCTCTGTCAGGCCAGTAAAACAGGTAAGTGGTGGGGGAGGAGATGTACCTGGGGCTTATGAACCTTAGGCTCAGATGACATTAAAGGAGAAAGAGAAAATGAATAGCTAAAGAAAGAAACACCTGCTCTGTAGCCCTACTTACATCCCAGAAAGCAGAGGGCTTTTTATTTAGACCCAGGCTACTCTCATTGCCTGTGTGGAATAGCCCAAACGGTAACAAAGACATTATATAAATGTACACTGTTGTAATTTCTCCAGTCGCATTTAATATCATTTACATCAACATCCAGCATCTAGATTGCAATCTAAGTTTAAATATATCCCAAAGAGTTTCCAGACAGCTTGACAATCATGTTTATAGTCTAATTTTATTTTTACCTTGCCAAACTAAGAGCAGCATAGCATCTCCACAGTGGTCTTTGCTTTACCATACTTGCCTTTACAGCTGAAGCTGCACAGACAGATTTTAAGTTTGCTTCATAAGGCACTTCCATTTTATTCTGAACTTTTTGTTGTTGTAGAAAAACAAAGCAAGCAAGCTGGTGATGGCCATTCAGCTATGTGCGCCTGATGTTGCTCCTGGGTACAGCTAGAGAAAATATAACTGAACTAGCTAGAAAATTAACTAGGGGCCAGCATTAAAAAGAAAACAAATGCAGACATGAAAAGTTTAACATTTTTATGAAAAAAATGTGGCAAAATTAGAATATTTAATAGGTTGCAGATGCCAGGATCATATTTCTTCCACCTATGCATCTCTCCTGCCTCCTCCCACCTTGAGCTATACAGATGGAGTCAACTGTTGAAAGCATAAAGCCAGGATGCCAAACTTTTTTCTAATGTTTCTTTGACCATGGCAAAGCTGAGAGATGAGCAGATCCTCTTACCCAAGACAGAAGCACACTGTTGATAGATGATATTTCAAGGAGAAGGTCCATGTCACTTTATTCTAAAGTTTAATTTTAAAAACTGCCTGTTGCAATTGCTGGAACAGTCTGCCACCTTCCATACTGGTTCTCTACCAAACCCAGCCAGATGGGTGAAATCTTTAGAAATAAGTCCTCATGACATATTGGTAGTTCTTGCCAAATGTTTGGCATACAGGAAATACATTGGATATTTTCTAGTATCAGTTTTAGTGGAACTGGTGGCACATTTTTATGAGAAATTTGACGAAAATGAAAAAAAATCTGTTGAAATTTGTCTGACAGAATTTTGAGTTGTCAGCCAAAGTTTTCAGACCAAAACTTTTTGCCTCAGTGCCTCATATGAGCTGTAGTTCAAGTAGCTCATGACCCATTCCCCTCTATGGGCAGTGCTCCCTGACTGCAATACATGTCCCATAATGCACCCCTCTTGCTGACCTGTCACAATGCACCAATCAGAGTACCGTAGCCAAAGTTCATCACAGAAGATGTAGTCTGACTGGGGAGCAATATTACTTTTTATACTTAACAATGACAACCAGGTATGATAAATTAGAGAAGAAATGTATATTATTTATCATGTACATCTTTGTGGCAATGCCACTGAAGAACAATCGTGCAATACAAGAAGAGAATCTTTTAAAAAATCTAAACAATTAAAATAGTTCCATAAAGAAAAAAAACTGAATAAACTATACAAAAATGTGGATCTGGCCTCACAAGGCAAGCCAGAATGCTAGAAGAAAGCAACAGAGGATGTTGAGCGTTAACACCAAATCTCTTGTATCCTCATTGCACAAATCCTTTAACTCCTTCCACATTTGAGATAATCAGCTCTCTGATCCAAGCAAAGAAGACATGCCAAATCCAAAATTTTAGCTAACTGAGAAAGTTTTAAAAACTAAATCACATTAGTTAGGCATGATCCACTTTAGGGAATCTGTGTTCTTGTATTTTCAGTATCTATAGATAGCTATAGTTTAAAGATTATAGCTTTTTGTTTTTTAGATTTTTCCTAGATTTTTCTTACACATTTATTTTCCCCCCAAACTGCTGCTGCTTCTGTTTTTAGAAGTGTTTTTTAAAAACAAAAAAAAACCCCAACAACAACATTTCCTCTCTCTGGTACTTCTTCAGAATGTCATTACATCTGACCCCAAGTTAAATAATTCTTTACTTTAATCTTGTCATTTATTTTACAGTATGATCTTCATTTCCCACAGAATTTTTTCTCCTTCCCCAGAACTCTTATCATATTTGTTTCTGGCACCTTCCTTGCTCCCAAACTTCTTTATGAACACAGTGACAAAAGAAAACTTCACATTTTAGCAATGCCTGCATCTTTTCAATAAATGACCACTGCCATCTCTTTTAATAGGATCTATTTTCTCATTTACTACTGTTACCCCTCAAGTATTTGAACAGTTGTATCTTTAGCTTTACCTTTGGTACAATATTCTTTTTCATCTT